AAATGATTCTATGATTCTATGACAAGCTTGTGCACAATAATGTGTGCTGGATACATGAAGAAGCACTAGGCCTGCACTACAGATGTATAGTGCAAATAAGTAGCAAATTTTGCATTAATTCTAGTACATTTACATAGGAAAAGAAAAAAAAAAAAACATTTCCAGTGAAGCTGGACTCTGACCCAGCACCAGTGGCATTATGTTTTCAAGTCTTGGAGAATCTCTGTATTTTTTCAAGTTCCAAAATGTATGAACTGACATTACCCGTCATCTCCCAAACATGTTGGGAAATTTTACATATAGTCCTAGGCACAAATACAAGAATCTAGAATCATTACTTCAACTTTAAAAAAAGCCCAGGCAGCTCAATAATTTGGTATACTATGGTGTAGCCTACAGACTACTATTTGGGCTTTCAGAATATGCTGCTAGGCAGTTTTTGGTGCCTTCTTCCCTTAGTTCAAGTGTTACACATTTCCAAGACTATTGCTTTGCAAAATACTGTTTATAAAATGAGGAGTTTCTCTAACAACTTTTCTTCTAAACACAGAAAAAATTCTCAGCATAACAAGTTTAGAAACACCGGACACTTACTCTTTGACATCACGAAGCTGATCAACATCCTGAGGTTTTGTGAAATCTGGATCATGTGCCAGTAAGTGAATCATATATGGTACCACATATTCTGGCAGCAAGGATAGCAATTTTTCTACAGTAACCAAAAAAAAACAAAAAACAAAAAACATAAATAACCTCTATAGTGTACACACGTGCATCACAAGAAGCACTTCTGTGAAATATTACTTTTTCAAATACAGAATGTAAAATTCTGACTTGCATTTTCTTCCTACAAATTTTCCTTTAATGAATCATTAAAATTAAATGAACAAGTTTCACTACTACAAAAGTACTTGGTCTTACTTCAGAAAGAAGGTCACAAGGCCTAAAATACCACAACACAAACCTATTTTTTTTTTTTTTTGAGGAAAACAACTACAACAGTAACAGCATTGTATTTTACACGTACAACTCTCAGTAACGTACAGAGAACTATTTTTATGTTATATGCTATTGCTCAATTAAGTAAATTTAGAATGGAATATGTAACGATGAGGGCACAAATTAAAGGTATCCAGTGCTTCCTTATAAAAGCAATTTGCTTAAGTTTTAATGATCACTCCTTCCAGTTTACTATTTGACCACTGCATTCTTAATTTTGCTGACATACTAACCATTAGCCATAGGATTCTGCTTTATATATTCTCTTCGTATACTGATGTTTTTGAGCAAGCACTGTCTGGCATGTGCTCTTCTCTCTTTCACAGGGTCTTTGGCACACAAAGCAAAGATTGCCATATATTCCAAAGGGAGCAGTAATTTCGCAAGTGCCTTATGCAGCTTCTGGGCAAATATCTGCCTCACTTGGTAGCACTCATCCTATAGCAACACAAAACATAAGAGCGCAACCATCAAAATCTTGGTCTTGGGAGGGGGGAAAAAAGGCATTCAGGGTGGAATTATGAGGAGAGATTTAAAAAAATACCAACAAATGCAGCACAATAAATACTTGAAATTTCAAGAACTCTTTTGAAAGCTGCAGTGAGGAACAGAAAATACTCAGTGTAGCAGCAACAAAAATTCAGATGTAAGGACTCTGAACACAGTTAATTAAGAGTCACTTCAAGTCGAATGCAGTTACTTACATTAATGACAAGTGCACAGAGCTGGAACTGTTCTGGGGTAATTATTTCATGGTAACAAGGTTCCTGTGCAAGCTTCATTATTGCACTACCAGCAGCTAATCGCAGTCGAGACATATCCGATTTACTATACAAACATGAGAGGGAAAAAAAAACAACACCAAAACCACACAACTCACCACAACTATCCTTAAATTATTTGCATGTCACAGTTTCTTCTTTTTACAAGATCGATAGAGCAATTAAGGTTTTCCTCTATCAGATCAGACCCCAGTTCTATCGCTTCAGATCAAGCTAAATTAACCCAACCAGATTTGTGAAAATAAGGTGCTCTGCTTTCCCCACAAAAAGCTTAAGTCTGTTAAAATAGTGAATTGAGAAGAGTCAGGTTTCTTGTTTTCATTTCATTACCTAAATGAAACCAGTACTTTTGGCACAGATTTTCTCTTTCCTTTCTTCCTTCAACCTCAGAATGAAGAAGAGGTGTAAGACTACCTCACTGTTGGAACGAAGAAGCTCCACCCAAGATCATCCAGCTCTTAAGTGTGTTAAATCTCATCACTCAATTGTTTTCAAAAGATACTCCTGCAGGTCTTTAATTCTCTAGAATGTTTTTTACTATCAAGATAGCTAAAAAGGCTCCAAGTTAGATTATTAGTAAAATACATGAAAGAGGGAGCATCAAGCGTATTTTTATATCGCCATTCCACTCCTAATATTAAAACCCCAATTGGATCTGTCTCCTATCATCCCAGATGGCTAACACTGTGCTCACCTTAGCATTTTAAAAAAGCTCCAAAAGAATTAGAATTCTTTGAAATCTACAACAAAATTGCTGGAAGCCTGAAAGGAGCAAACTCTGACCTGATTCGCTTCTGTTCTGTCAGGTCTCCTTCACTGACGAGCATGGCTGACAGCAACCGGAGCGTGGAATTGGCCGACTTCGACTGGTTGTTCTTCATACCCAACAGCCAACGTACCAACAGTTTAATCGCTTGCACCTACCAAAAACGAGCATGTCAACACCGAACTCGCGTCCTAACGTTGACAAGGCACTAAAACCTACTGCTGCCAAATTGAAATTCCCAGAGGCGACTCTTTATTTGAGCGGATACATTTTTATAGGAACAGAAGGAAGCTGTAGATATTTACAGAGTGAAGAAGGAAGTAGCAGTCTTTGGGACATCAGGGCATTTCAACTATGGTTCAGTGTCTTCTCACAAGTGCATCTAGAGGATGCAGGATACTTGCTACATGGTTAAAAATAAGAGCAACTAGATAAACATTTTTACAAATGGCCATGACTAGATTCACAGTAAATAGCCGATAAAGATTAATGAATACAATTCATCAGGGTCTCAATTTATTTGAAATCTGTTTAAAGTCAAATTACCTTTCTTGTAAAGAAAACTAAAACTTGTAAATCTCTTTATTCAGCATAATTAATATAGGTAAGTGACACCAAAATGCATAGTTTCTACAAGGTCTGTCTGTAACCGCATAATCCACAAAAGCTCTAGAACTTGGCATGTTCTAAGGAAACTAATACAAAAGTACTCAAAGGGATTTATTCTAATACTATCCACTGTACAACTTAGAAAAAAAGTAAATTTTTCATCTCAAATATAGACATTATTACTAAGAGCAGATCATTCACCTTTGCTAGTACTTCTGGAGAAACCTCTTCATCTGGAGACCACAATTTTCCATTTTTCTCACCTGTTGACTACAGACATTCATGTAAGTTTAAGAACTGGCTCAACCCACAGCGAAAAGGCACAAGTGAAAACGGAAAAGAATCATGAACTAAGCCTTCCTTCACACAAAGATCTTTTACAATGCAATTATCATAGTACTAGTCATTTAGAGAATGTTCCTTTGACTCATTTAAAAAAAAAGCTCTTTTCCCCATGGAGTTAGTAACAGGCAAATAGAATAAGCAAGGACTTATCAAAAAAAGAAAATCTTACCCTGTCATTCATGAGGAGATCTTTTACAATGAAATTTGCAACAACAGATTTCATTGGCGAAGCAAACTGGTCTGGAGCCAACATGGAAATATGACCCAATGAGACTAATGGAGTTATAAGTTGTTCCGGTACATCAGCATTCAAACTTCTACTAAGAGGCTGAGGAAGGAGAGAGAGAAAAAAAAATAAAAATAAACTAAAAATTCAACTATAGGTAAGCTGGCATGCCTAAAAGTCATCTATTTTACTGCTGGATGGCTGATGAGTTTCACAGTTTTTCCCGTAAAAATTAATAAAGTTAGCAAGTCATATTGGAGAAAGAATGGTATTCCTAATTAACAGAGTAACCAAAAATCTCATATGAGATAAGGGCAAATTTTATATTCTCCTCCTGCTTTCATGGTGAATCACATTCAAACCTGGGAGATATGGGACAAACTCTGACTCAATTCTATTCCGGAGTTGCGAAAGCCCACTAACTGCAAATGGCAGAAAATAATAGTGGGTAACGAAACCCTCGGAAACCACCAGGGACATTTTTATTAGCTATCAGTATTTCCCTTCCAGGTAACAGTCACCAGGACAATTCTGTGCTGCTGTATCACCCAGCACCCTCACATCCTGTTCTGGTATGAAGGAGGGAACATGCATTTGCACAAGTTTAAGCAGAGACCAAATGCTGCCTAAACTTAAAGCTTTTCACAGTGCTGAATTATGCACAGATTCAAAGACACTTAAGATTAAGAACTCAAGATATTTTACAAGTGTAGACTAATAATATTATTTAAGAGATTGCAGTGAAAAGTAAACTCCCTGCTCGCTCTGTATAAAGTGACTTTTTGCTTTATAACTTGTCACCTTCAAGCATGGTAATTTAATAAAGTTTGAAAGTAAGGGATGGTGTCTCTCATTTAGTACCTGCTAAATCTGTCCTTATATGACTTAGTGTGGATCATTCGAGACTAGTTTATTTTCCCCTAAATTTTCCTATGTACTCAGAAATGAATACCTTATCTATCAGTCGACAGATTACAAAATTATGACTGCAACAGAAAAATATTAATAAACTGCTATTGTAAAACTGATGACTTATCTTGACTACCACACAGGCTTCCTGACCTACACATTGTTATCTGTTAATAAACAGTATGAATTAATGTAAATTAGGAGTATTAATTGAAGAGAAACAAAGAAAAAATAAAAAAGCAGGACATACCTCAAAGATCTGTGCAAGCTGCACTTCTTTATTTGAAAATATGGCATGTATACAGTGAACAGCTTGTTTTGCCTGATGAGGAGTGCCTCTTTTTGCTTTCTGATGCAAAATTGGAATTAGTGTTCTGTGAACATTAAACAAAATACTTCAAAATGCAATTTGCAACCTACAAAAAAAATAAAGCTCTTCACCTACACGTATCTATCCTCATCATTTTATAAATCAAGCATTCCTTTGAAGTCTGTTCAGGAAACATCATAATCATAAAGTGAAAAGGAGGATGGAATTGTATTTAGTAGTACTTGTTGAACACCTGACTGTACACATTTACACAGAAAAAAAGCCCACAGGGAAAAATCAAACATGAAAGAAAATAATGATCTAAACAAGGCTGTTTAGGAAGCCAAATATAAGGGGGCGGGGGGGGGGGAAATGTGAAAAGTTCAGCTAAGGTAAACTCCTGGACTTATTATCCAAGCCTGGAAGTGACAGGGCTGAAGAAAACTTATGAAAGCTAAGAATAACCATTAAACATCAGTGTGTTTATATACCTTGACTGCTTCAGCTTTGGTCTTTAATCACCAGATATACTGAAGTTAACAAATGCTTTGTTCTGAGATTTTGCATTTGAATCCTCTAAAATCCATCGGCTGATCAGAAGCCAATGCAGCAAAGAACAGGCAGAAGCTGCTCCAGAAACCAGGTCGAGGTTGGTCAGACTGCTCAGTTCCACTCCTGAGAGTGCACTGGAAGGCAGGCCTGTCCCCTGAGAGGTTGCTGGCTGAGACACTAACTCCTGAGGTTTACCACACAACTCACCCAGAAACTGACACAAGCCAGCAAAATTGCCTAGAAAGCATCCGATACAGAAACATCTAAGAAAATAATAAAATTCCTTACTTCTCCACAGGCTCAGTAACAATACAGCTTTCAGTACATGGATTATTTAGCACACAGCTTTCACTGACAATAATAATCAAAATCAGTAACAAGAGGTGGAAGATGACTTTGCAGGGTTGAAAGAATGAAATCTCAAACTCTTTCCTAAAAAACCACATAAAACTCAAAATCAACCAACAGACCAAGAAAAACGTTTAACAGTATTCTAATGTAGAATGCCTCTTCTTAAACCTGCTAAAATTCTGCAAATACTATTAAATATGGACAAAAATAGCAAGAAAATCATTGAAACATACTGTTAATAAACTTCAATGCCTAACCAACAGTTTTCAGAGTGTAAGCACATGAATGTTACAGGGCCTCTGCCAAGTGCTGGTGTCCCAGTTACACACTACACATTATCAAAACCCATCTGATACAGAGCTGCAAAAGGTGAAATCTGACATATTTACATGCAGAAGTAAATATGTAAAGGTACAAGTTTACAGGTGGTCAATAGGCTCTCTTTGAGCATGGCCAACACTTCTGTTAGACTTCAGTCATACAGCAGTCCTTGCCCATGAAGTGGTGCACAAACCTATTTGCTTTCCACAGGAGGAAGAACTTGGGCTACTGCTGGTGAACACTGATTTCAAAGGACAGTAGGCAGCCTGCTCACACAGGGAGTTTTAAAAACACCAGCTTGCTTGAAACAAACTATCTTTCTAATTACGTAAAAACTTTTGGTTTATGATAAAGATTGGATAAGATAAAAATAAAAAATTATTATTGTAATAATAAAACATAATATGATAAAATAGACACAAAACCTGGACCATCTACTTGTCCTCAGACTTTTTTCTTTGCGTCAGTGTAAACACTGACCTGGTTTTGGCTCCCAGAACATTCACCTGACATGCTTGCAAACCATGCCAAAGGCTAGAACTCCATTTTGACAGTTATATTTTGAAGTTTCGTGAGACTGCCCAGAACATACTTCAGCACTACCTGGCTACGGCATGAAGCCAAAAGAAATGTCAGCAATATCAGCTCCTTTGACAGAAGATTACATACTTCAGCAGTGCACAGTCTTGACTAAACTCGAGTAGGGGCCTACAGATGATTGGGACTATACTGACAATAGAGATTGCTGGGCGTTTCCTCCTCTTCACCCCTACAAATGTCTGAAAAAGTGTCTCATTTGTTACATATATGTAACATTTTTCTTTTGCTCAATATCTTGTTCAAATCCTTAAGGATCACTGAGGTTACATCTTCAATTCACTGAGAACTTAAGGTGTACATTGGTATGCATTGTAGCATGGGAATACCCAAGATGCTACTTCAATATACAAAAACTTAAAACCTGTGCTTTATAATCTGGATGAGTTAGTTACTAACAGGCTAATTTTAAGGTTTACAGATCTTACCCAGAAGGTTTTAAATAGTCTGTGAATACCTAGTAGGTTATGCAGTTTTTATCAGCAGTTAAAGCATGAACTGCATAATGACTTATAGACAGCCAATTATTCTTTGTTTTGGTAGAAGTGCATGTCTGCTTTTGGATCTTGTCTCCCAACTTGTTTCAGAACAAACAGAGCTGTTAACCACCAGAGATTATATTTTTGTTCCTGACAAAGATAGAGAAATTGTGTGAAGGACAAATACGAGTAGAAATGATGCCAAGGAATTACATCTTCACCATATTTTTTGCTGTTGCTTATTTTGTAAGCTGGGGAACACACTACACAGTTTTTAATTTATCTAGTATAAGCGTGTTTTTAAGAAGTACCTAATGTCTTTGATAAATACACAAAAATTGTGAAAACACAGAATTTAAAAATGAAGAGACAGAAAGGTAGTGAAGCAATACAAAATGATGGAAGAGAAGCTGTTCATATTCACAAGACTATAAAGTAAATTCAGGGGAGGCAACATACTCAAACTATAAAGAGGCAGAATTCCAGGTATGAAAAGCAGCATGTAAGGAAATACACTCACGATCTTATCTGTGGCAAGTCTGTTTCTATTTTGTGACCCGTGTTTCTGAAAATCTGTATGGCTGCCTCAGCTACCTTATCATCTTCCATTCTGAGGCACTGCAGCAGAGACTCATAGGTCTCTGCAGAGTGGAACGAGGTAGGATGTGTAAAGGACAGAACCTGTAGATAAACATTAGAATAAAAGGTATATTTATTCATGTTAAATGAATCACCAGAAAAACAAAATCATAGCTCCTTATTAGCATTACCATCAACATAAATAGCTATTACATGCTCATGTGTGTTTATTACACTCAACTGTTGCATTTTGGAGAAGGTGATATAGGCATTTTCAAATAATCTATGCTTTGTTATTTAGGTCCTCCTCTCCTCCAATTATTTAATAATATATGACATTATTTGAATATGTAAACATATTTATTACAATGAACACTTATTCAAAAGTATTCATTTATCTTCCAATCTATTAAAAAATGCTTTTTTCAACTTAATGTAACTGAAGCGAAATCTTCATTTCTCCAGAAACTATAGTTCCTGAGCAGAAAAAAAAAAAATCAAGAAAGTTAAGTTATCTACAAACAAAAACAGAGATAACTGTCCTTTTAATCTCAAGCTAATGAAATATAACACATTATGTTAAACAGGAGAAACATCAAGTAAGAAACTAAGCATGCAGAGATTCAAGGCAGGACAAGAGAGAACAAAAGGTTATCCCAAACCAAAACTATATTAAGTGAAGTTCAGATAGTGTAAGGTAGGAAGAGCAATGAAAAGTTGCATGTATTTTGTGTATTCTTGGTATTTATCTTGGTTTCTTTCATCAGAGTTTTTTACTTGCATGTATCAATGAGTGGAAAAACATTCTGAGATACCCACGTCACAGCAACAAAATCTTCAACCTTGGCAGGTTTCTATTTTAAGCTATGTTAGCAAACAGACACTGCTTCCTTACATACTTCCATTAAACTATTTCTACCATGGTCGCCACTGTCAAATTTGGTGTGATGTGTATCCATAAAGTCCACCTCATTCATTCACAGTTCTGAAAAGTCTCAGTTTAATTGCACAACCTTCCCCTCCATTCCCTCCTATATAATACCATTTGTAACATCATATTGACAGTAAAATCGTATTAGTGAGCTGCCAAATCCATCCCAGATGTTTCCCAGATATTTCAAATCCTTTTTTCTCCCCCAGCAATTTCTCATCACCACTGAGATTACAACTTCACCCATCCCCGTTTTTTCACTACATAACTTGGCTCTTGAGTTTTATTGCTAGCCTTCCTTCCAGTCTGAGACAGGCCCCAAAGAACATGCCTATTCTAATTTCCTCATTTCTTTTCCTCTCACTACCTCTGCACCTTCTTCTACATGACTTTCCCAAGCAGAAACTAATTTCTGGTTTAATGTCCATATCTCAACTCTTGGCACCCTTTTCAAAACATATTTCTTCCAAAAATCTGTCTCCTTCATTACCTTTTTCTCAAGCGAGTTTTAGTAACCAAACACTCACAAATTAAAAAAGTAGTTATCTAAATAATAGCTATTAAAACCATGCTAACATTATTTCCTTAATCATACCACTGTTGTCCCTTCCGTTACAAAGTACAGCTGCATTAATGCAGATTACCTTGAGAAGTTCAAGTCCTGCACGTATAGCAGTATCAGGACTTACACCCTCCTCTTCATCATCAGCTGTCCCCTCTATGGATTTATTCATTAATTTTACTAGTGCACTGAAATAAGAGATACAAAAATACAGAAATTAAAAAATGCACAGAACGTGACAGTGTACAATGCTAAAGGCTGGAGATAACAGCAAGATTACTTGGTTTTGACAAAGGGAAGGCAGTAATCCATTGAGGGGGAGGTATTGGGGTGTTTCTGGGTTTTTTTCTGTGGTTTTTTTTTTTTTTTTTTTTGGTGGGGTTTTTGTTTGTTTGTTTGTTTTGTTAGGAGGATTTGGCTTTTCTTTTTTTTTTTGCAACTCAAGCTATTCCATTATTCCTTTTCCTTTTGACTTAGCTTTCTGCACAATTAATTCTTTATGAAAACAAACAAATAAAAACCCACCACGTTGGCAGCATTCAGATCAATGCATAGTTGCACAAGTTTCAGAATGCAGTTAGGTTGCCAGACAAGTCTCAAAAGAAATCCAAACATACTTTCATGCAATCTCACAAAAGCTAATGAACTCAACTGCTATATGGAAGACTGTTGCAAGCAGTTTGTCATACCCCTAAATAGCAGTTTCATGGAGAACAACTATTATATTTTTTAAAATCATTTGCAGGGAGCACTGCAAATAAGTATCAAAAAAAAAAAATTGCATTCTCTAGGCTGCTGGAAATGAGCCCTAAAAAAAAAAAAAAATTGTTTTAAATAATTTAAATCATCTTTATCATCATTCATGAGTCAGTATGATCTTTCAAACTTACCTAATGGCTTCTGAGTCAATATGTACAGGGGCAATTCTTTCCAAAAGAAATTTGACCATTTCCAGAAAAGGATTTGTTGGCTGCTTAGGATTTGCAAGTTTCCGGGCTATCTCTCTCTGTAAGAATGTTAGATACAAACAAGGATTATACACATTTTCCTTAATTCTTAAGCATGCTGAGTAAACTAAATATAGCCACTTCTTTTAACCATAGTGACTGACTCTATCATCAGGGAAACGTAGTTTAAGAAGGGCTGTTGTTATCACATTATATCAAAAGCAAACATTAGATGTATTTAGGATTCTAGTGAGAGTTCTTCAGAGTTTCTTAAGGAATTGCAGGCCTTAAAGGGAGAGCCAAGTGCAATGTATACAGAGTTTAAGTACCTACATTGACAAAGGTAGCCCATAAACCTGTAGGCAGTAAAAAAAATACACTAAAAGCTACACTACTTTGGCTACAACAGATGTTCAGACCCTATGCACTTGCCTATGAATGCTTTGGATTCAAAAATATGGTTTTCCCCCCTGAACGCTCCACTGTCAAGAACATTAAATTCAGCTGCAAACTCAGCATGTGGTGGATAGAAGGTATTTTTGTTTTCAACTGAAGTCTAAAAAAATCTCTCAAAGAAATGGTTTCTTGACCTTCTTTCTCCTAAAGGGTTTGATGTTGCAGACACTACAAACTAGAAAATTGTTCTGCTATGCTAAAATATCTTCAGGAAAATGGAATAAACCTTCCTCGTGAAATGGCATCACTGCATTACCAAGGTGCCGACATACTCTCTACATCAAGTGGTTAAAACAGTTCTGAAGGTCATTCTTTTCTCTTCCATGGACAATTTGAGACCCATTAGACAAAATTAATGAAGGCTGTATTTGTTTGTTGATGCTTTCTATTGTGACTTCTTTCGACAAAACTGACAAAACTTACTTTATTTAGGAAAAAAATGGGTAAAAAAAAAAAAAAAAAAATTATCTGCAACCACTGGCACAGTCTGTAAGTCTCCACAAGTCTATTTTAATATTAAGGTGTGTATTTTCAACAAAGAGGTTAAATAGATGAGGGAGTGAAAGAACGTGATCTCAAGATAAAATTCTAGGAAGAAAATGTATATGGTACCACATTTCGCTTGCTGGTACTCAGAATTTTCATCAGTGTCAGACGACAGTTTAGGAACCTCACTGTAACAGATATACTTCAAATGATTTTTAAAAAATATTAATTTAATAATTTAGACTTTATGCTTGATGGTCATAATCCCAGGAAGGAATAATGTTAACGTTTTCCTTGCAAGCAAGATGATGATCATAACATCTATTTTCCATAATCTGTACAGGTTCACCAAAAATGTATTTTAAGAAAATTGTAAATACATAAAAATCATGTTAAGTTACCAAAAGAGACCATTAACTCCAAACAACTGTTTTAATCACAAATATTAAAAGGTATAAATTGCTTTTCCCTTTCCTTACCACACAGACATCTGCCTGTTTACAAGAACACGTAGGGCTAATTAAAAGCTCAAGCTGGGATTGAAGTTTCTCATCATCACCCAGAACCTGATTGAATTTCTTCACAAAATCTTGTGCTTTTCCAGGATCTGGAAGGTTCTCTGTAGGATGGAACAAAATTTAACATAAGATAAATATGTCACTTTAGTACACCAGGATTCACAGAAATACAATTTCCAGGAATGCTGTGACAACTTCTTATAGAACTTATTTAACACTCACTTGCTATGGTCATCAGCTTCCCAAACATGGCAGCACTGTTTGCTTCTGACTGCGGACAACAGCAAAAACAAACAACATATCAACAATATCTCTTTTATAAAGTATACCTTTAAGCTGATCTGTTAGCTCTTCTGCAGCACTACATTCTACTCTGGAATCTTCTGGTTTATGTTTTTGTATTAAGAATAAACAGTAGAATAATATAACAGTATCATTAGTAGCTACTCAGAAGGAAAAAAAAAAAAAAACCACCTTCCTGCAGTATCAAAGAATGGCAAAAATTCCCTAATTCACATAACAGATCAAAATGAATTGCTGGAAAAAGACCTAAAACCCTCACAAACAAACAACTCCCCCAAGACCACCCCCACACCAAAACCCCAAAGCAATGCCCTATTTAAAGCTTCTGCTAGTCTGAAGATATGCTTAGAGGTAAAATTCTAGTATAACTAACTACTTAAAAACTTCTGTTCCCAAACAAAAAAATTACTCTTTTATGTTGCAACACATTCCATTCTCAAAACATTATAAAATGAGAAACAAAAAGATCTGTCAAAAGCAAACAATAAACTTGGAAATTTTAAAAAAACTTTTTTCTAAAGTTATTGACCAGCAATATAAAAAAAAAAAAAAAAAAATGGTAAACATAAGGAGGCCATATACCTTTAAGCATTACTAAAATCAACTTTATTTAATGAGAATGGAACATTGTCTACATATGGACATCAACGAATAATGAAGTTACACCCAGCAAATAATATCATATTAAAAAACCCAGTTAATTAGTCTAACAGGTCCATTGGGTAAAGTATTAATATTTTCAAAACCGTACAGTGGGCTGCTTATGCAAGTCTAGTAATTCTCGTACGTGACTCCTTAGCATGTTCTGGCACTTCCACATCTCATTCAGTGCTCTGCAAAAGTGCAAAACCAGAGAAGAAAAGCTTACCAATGTGTTCACGGCAAGAACATGCTGGATGTATTAGTAAACAAGATTACTTATCTTACAAGTGCAACATCTGCTAGGTACCAAGTGTTAAAAACAGTTCCAAACAGGGTGGAACTGAGTTTCTCTTTTTACAGAACATCACCCCTCTTATTCTGCTTGAAACAACATCACCTATGCAGGACAGCCACAGTATGTCTTACAAGCACCCAAATTACCTTGAAAATAACATTTTCAACACAAAACCCAGGCTGCTATCAAGCAGAATTCAATGACAGGTATCTTTGTCATGGATACTAATTATAGAGCAAATCTGTAATTCATTACTTGTGCATTCTTTAATTCTGCATTGTTTGAAGAGTGGATGAAAATGAATGGATAAAACCACTCCTCTCTAATGTCAAGGTATCTTTTTGTCTAATGGACAGAGAGTTAGGATATAAAAGAGAAAAGTTTTAAAATACTACTTGCAAATAACGCTAAACATCAGCTACTTAGTTTTATACAAATCCTGGTAAGAGAAGTAAGGTGACATAAATGCTGTAAAAGTCTGAGAAAGCAAGTATTTGCTGAACACAAACTATACTCACTTGACAGCATTTGGATCCAAGCTAGCATACAAATAGTACAAGCACTTCATTCGCTCTTCTGTTTCCAAATTGTGTGGAACAAGATACTGAGCAAAGATTTTCTCTACCAGTAATCTGCAGAAGAAGAAGAGATAAAACCTGTACATTTTCAGAAGCGACAATACCTTTCAGACAAGCTGAAAGACCAAGAAATATTTGAAGTAACGGAAATAAGATTTTTCAACAGAGAAAAGAAAAAAAAAATTAGTGGTCATTTTCCCATCTGTAAAGATCCCTTCCACTGTTGATGGAAAGATTAGCAAGAGCTGCTTCTCAAGAACTTTCCATGTTCTTTCATTTTCACCTCTAAGGAGTAATTGCTTTATCCATCCAAATTCTCCTTTTTCTTTAGGTTCTCAGAATCTCCCTTTGTCCTCACTCATACATAAGGCAATGGGATATAGGCAGTAAAAAGTCCAAATAAAAGTGAAAGAATACAAAAATATGACTTGAAGGGAAGGAAAAGTAAAAATCTGAAGTGTCCTTGAGTGAAGGGTTAAGATGAAACTGTAGTATTTGAGAAAAAAAGCAAAACATTTGGAACTACACATTATTCTAATACAGAAGCTAAAAATCAGCATTAAAAAGAGAGACAAAAGGAGCAACAAAACATATACAGCAAAAGGAAAACTGAGCAAAGCAAACCAACAGAAACAGTACCCAGTTATCTCTTAAAAAAGCTTTACGTAAAATTCAAAACTTGAACCACAAACATGACTGTAGAGTATGACTGTAGAGTTCATCTAATTACAGCCCACTCCTAATGAACGAGCACTCAGACATTCATTTAATCCACAGCAATGAGAGCTGTGCACAATGTTCATATATATAATTTGATATTTATGGACAAGTAGTTTGTGTGTTTGAATTTACAAGCTTTTTCACTATGATTCCTAGTAACTACTCTGGGAACAACTTGTAAAGACCACAGAAGGCAGCATGGGTAAAACACACCTTATTCCTGTCACAGAAAATTCCCAGAGACATGATGGCAAGGCAGAGGAATAAAGGATGATCACAAAGACGGATGCAACTATCTTGAAGCACCCTCTTGGTATTAAAGAAAACTCTGCTTTCTCCCTTTACATGTACATTTTATTACTGATGTTTCCAAGAACTAAATTGCTTGGGGAACAGGATCTTCAGGTCTCAGGAGACCCTGTCTTTGTTTAACATAACACTGGACGCATCAGGGTTATCTTATCAATTGATGAACGTTGCTCTAGCCCACGTCTTTACAGCTACATGTTCTAGGGAATCTGTCAATATAAATGGCAAGACTCTATCATGCCTTCCCTGGTCCATGTCAGTCAGGGTAAGGCTTGACAAACAGGAAATTCTCCTCTGGGATACACTTTTCTCCTGTGAGGAAAGTCTTTGGCTAGCACTTCAAGAGCAGGTAACAGAGCAGTGTTTAAGATGTGGTTATTTTACTCCATTCCCTATGCATCTGTTGCAAAACAAAGAAGCTCAGAGCACACAAGTGATAAGCAGTTAGAAGTTCTCAGTCTTGAGTAGACACGCAGGACATCAATAGTCAATTAACATCAAAAATAATACCAAATGACTGAGCTAAGGATGTGCGGAGAAAATTTGTTCTATGCCACTTCACTCCTGAATACTGTGTGGTACTGCACTCTTATCTTTTGAAAGAAGGAGCCTTATCCCATGAGGCAATGGAAAATACTGCAAGGCTCAGGCTGTTACCTTTTACTTTTTTCAGTGTTACTTTTTATCCTATTCCCACATTATAGAAGGAGAACAGGCCAGGGTTGGCCGATTTTGACCTATGGACTCTGTCTTAAAAAGATCACAGCCATTTCTACAGCTCTTCAGGTGCTGAAAGTACTTAACTTTCTAATTCTGACAATAATGTTAAAGTGCATTTATTCCTCCACTCCAGATGGGGAAATCAACCCAATGGTGTGACTAAGCAAGAACCTCACTGTCAGCCTTAAAAATTAGATTTGAGTTAAACTTTAGGGTACCCAACTGAACTACAGGAACATTGAAAATCAAGCCACCAATCTTTCAGCGTGGATACCCAGAAAACAAACAGCATACAATCCATGCCTGCTCACAGAACAAGCAGTTTCAACAGCTTCATCAGAATTTCATACGAAATCATACCAGAGAAAGAAACTCAGCTTTGATGACAACAGCCTTTCCTTAAAATTCTTTGCCTCATTTCCCTGATAGCAGTCTAATTTCCAAATATCCTAATTTTGCACTATTTCATAGTTCTAATTCAGCAGATTTCCAGTGTCATTTCTGTGTGTATAATATCATAACTGTATCTTTCTTCTTTTAAAGAACACCGAAAAGGCATCGATTGATCAAATAGGTAGCTCTGGCCCACCCGGGATCAGCCAGATTAAGGAAGTGAGAACCTTCACCACTGCAGTGGTAAGAATTCACTGTCATAACCAGCAACAGGAGGAGGCAGTTGTCATATTCAGACTAGGCAGTAAAAGCACAAGTGTATTATTGAGGTAGTAGACTGTAAGAAAGATAGTACGAAATACTCTTAGAGAAATTTCCAAGTCTGCAGTATTAAAAATCCAGGCTGAAATTCTATCTTGGTGCGACCTCATAATTTGACTCTCCTTGCAAAAGAATTAACAGCAAAGAGCTGAAAACTATCTTTTAAAACCTTAGCGAAAATACTTTTCTCTCTGTCAAAATGGTGTTTCAAAAATTGAAAGGACTAAATGACAAAACAGAAAGCACCTCTGTTATTCCTTCAGCTTTTGTACTACCTGAAGGGTCCATTTCTACACTGCATACCAAAAGGAGATGCCTGGACAGGTACTGTGGTGCATACATGCATGATGATCACAGATCACAGATTTTAGCGTGCTAGCCTCTGGAAAGTAGTAAGGCAAACAAGAACTGGTACAGTAACTGCAAAAGCTGGCCTTTTTTTACGCACTAGTTGACTTATCTACTACGACCACAGGTGCATCAGTAAATAGAATGAATACATAAACAGATAACGCAAACATCCTTAGTACCTTAGTATGTATCTTAATGATTATTAATTACATAGAACATACTTAAAACCACAAATACAGATGTGATACAACAGCTTTCTCAAGATAAGCACATATTGTCAAATTATCTCTTATCACTATACCATTAAAATTAGGAAGGCTTAGATTGACTTACTTGTCATCAATGCTATTTTGATAATATATGTGCAAAAGTTTATCCTTTATCCAGCTCACTTTCTCTGCAGCATCTTTTCCAGCCTCGGCATGAAGACAATACTTCTTGTATAGCTGGGCAAGACCCATCATAGCTTCTTTTCTTACTCGCCACTTGAGGGAGAAGAAATGAAAAGGAGGTGGGGAAGTGGTTTTGGAAAATAAGCATACAAACATATATAAAATACAGTAAATACGTGGAATCGTGGAAAAAAACCCAGCCACATTCTGACCTCCTGTATTTAGATACTTCAGAACAAAAATTTAGAGCCTCTAAATGACAATTTGTAAAGCCTACACATGGAACTTCTTCCCTGTATTATGCAGATTGTCTATGCAGAAGAAATCAGTACTCCACTGTCCTGAGTGAAAAAATCTGGGATCTAGCAAGTATAAAAAAAGTCAAGTACAGCTTAACACGCCTGCCTAAGTAAATGCCTTCTTGAGCCAGGATTTGGAAGACTTATCTATTCAGACAGGCACCCATCAGAGGTAGCAGACTTCTTTCTCCCCATAGCCTTTTTCACTGTCTTACAGCACACTTGTCTGGAAATGGGGGATTTGGAGCTCAGGTCTAGCTAAGCCTGCCAGGGCTTGAACTCTTAAGGCCACTTTCCAGGACAGTGGAAGAGCCCCTTTTTCTTGAAGCCTCAAAGTAATCACTGTAGGATTCCAGGGATCCTGGAAAAAGCCAAACAACAATGTCTAGAGATGAAGTTCCTGGGTTCCCATCTTTGCCTTTGGTGGTCACTAATTTATCCCCTCACGTAAACAGGAAATGTCTCATTACTAAATACTTTAACAGACAAGATCCACAAGCTCTCCTACACTGACTTGTGGAAGGAATCCTATTCAAACAGACTGCAGATTAATTTATACAGAACAGTTTCTCCCAATGAATGATTTACACAGAAGGCCTCAGAAGAAACTTGTTTTCCCTCACCACTTAAAACAAATGCATGAAATTTAAACTGGAAGAAATAATTTCTTCCAGAACACATTGATATAACTTTGGCCTTAAACTCCAAGGACTAAAAATGCTCAAATCACTTCACTCTGTCAAGAACAAAAGTAGATACTATTATTCATACTGTGTACAAATTCTTCAATCTTGTTAAACTGAGGGCTTGTTTCAGTAACACTAAATGAGGTATTGCATGTTTAATTTCTTAATAGTTTTACCGAGTGACTTCCTTTACTCAAAGGGAAAAGAAAAATCTTGAAGGTAATATGGTTTTTATCAGCACAACAGCCTTAGACACCACTAGCTGTTGAAGTAAGTTATATCAAGAAAATGGGAAAAAAAGAGAGGGTTTTTTTTGCATATTTCTTAAATACTAAAACCACAAGTAACAGGTCAAGATAGTAATGACACTGACAGTATGCAGTGTAATACCTGGTTTTCACAAAAGAAAAATTACAGATACAAATAGATGTTACTGTTTAACTTCTCTGCAGGAATTTGTTCACACCCACTGCAATCTAAAGCACATATTTAAAGAAAATGTAAGTCTGAAAGAGAAACATTTTCAGAAAAGTATTCGTGTTTTTCTGCATTCAGATACACCCCTCCAATCCAAGTGACAGCTTCGTCAGATCTCCTATGTGAGACAGGAAGTACAGCAAAACTACTGTCAAAAGGCAACAGAGGAGGATTGCAAGAAATTATTCTAAAAAATTTAAGCCTAAAATGAAGTCGGAGTACTTAAGAAGGGGTTATAAGGAAAGGAGGTTTGGATTGTCAATAGATTTCTGGTAACTGAAATTGGTGTGGAGAGTACAAGTCAGAGCACACAGCAAGGCATTTTCAGGCAGAAGATGAGAGGGACTGGACAGAATCCCTTAGAGAAGGCTTTCAGACACCACAGAAGAAAGTCATTCAGGAGGAGACATGGGTAAAAAAAAAAGTGCTACTGAGAATTCAAGATCAAACAGCATACAGTAGGGTAAAAGATGAATGCAAATGAAAATAAAGGGGAATGTAATAATTTAAAAAGGAGCAGATCAATAAATGCAGCCAAGATAATTACTATCCTGATTTCATTAAGGAAAGAATTTTGACACTTTTAGCTTCCTTGATTAACCAATATAATTAAACTCCTTCACTGAAGACTCCTAACCTTGTTATTGAAAGTTCAAGACAATCTCTTAGCTGTTGGAATAGGTAACCTATTCCTTCCATAGAGTTAAAAACAGTAACATTTTAAAATCGTCCTCCTTCATCTGGAAGAAGCTACAGTGGTTTTCAGTACACAGAAGGAGGAGTTAAAACTAACACATGCACAAAAATGCATGAAGAGAAGTAGAAAATGAGAGTCTGTTCCTACAGCTCCTCATTCTCTAGCTTTTGATTTTAAGCCGATGATGGGACAGTCTGTTTCTCATGAAGGGACTGTCTCCAGACCACAAAGGCTTTGGGGGGAAATGGGAACAAAAGTCAGCTTCTAGAAAGTTAGAAGCCTCTAACTTTTCAGGTTCTTAAGGTTACTCCACTATAAAGGAAAAGTATCTAAACCATTTTTAGAAACTTGAAAACTTTGGGGTCCTTTGGTGGTTGCTTTGTTGTTGTTCTTTAAATGTCTCCTGAAAAGAATTATTTTGAAAAGTGAAGACACTGGGAAGACCCTAGAGACAATGCTGCAGTGGAAAATTCATCAGAATAATTCCTACCAAAGTCTGAATTCCAGTTTTTGGGAAGCATCTGTTCACAGAGTTACTTTCCCAATTGGACCAGTAAAAATGGATTTGAAAACTACAGGTGGTGGTGAGGTTTCTTTGGGGTTGGTTTTGTTTGTTTGTTTTTAATGGCTATGATAATAATCAAATGTCCATACAGATCAAGCTAACCAAGAATGTTATTTTTAAAAACAAAGTATTGTCTTCTAGCCAAAAACTTTTGCCATAAAAAGTCATTAGGCTATCTTTATGAATACTGTGCCAACTGGAATAGGGTCAAAGAGAAAAAACAAATCACATGAATGGTGTAACTGTTAGCATGATTTAAACTTTCATATAGTTTTATTAAAAGAAAGGGTAGAACTGAAAGACAGATTAATGTGTTTAAACAAACAGCATTTTATTTCAGCCTGTTGGACTGGTGTTCTTTTTACAGTAATATCAATAATTTGATATATGATTGCAGGCATAAAAAGAATTAGATGAAGTCAAACTTGTGAATGACTGCTTAAGAGTCTGCAGTAGATTTGTCCAACAGAACCCTGGCTACAAGGGGTAAATACCATAAACTGGGGACAACTGAGTTCTTTAAAGCAAAAGACTAATTAAAATATGTATTATGTACTATTTCTGGAACTGAAAGAAATCCTTCAAAGAAAATATAAAGACAGTTACATGGGCATATCAATGTCCACCTTCCAAAATGAAGAAAAATTTTTAAAAAAAAGAGAGAAGGTTTTCAAGTCCTTGATACTCACTTTATAACACTAATTATACTCACAAAGACATGTTATATTGTTAAGGTCTATTTCAAATGCTAAGTATTTGTTGCAGTCATTTCTAGTTAATTGTCAATTTTCATTTCTCCTCAGGATGTGCTTTCATTAAAGCTCTCTCCAGAGATTCTTGTAAGAGACACATAAGAGGTGAAGTCATTCTTCACTGATGAGTGCCTGAAAATGCACCTTACCTTGAAATGTAATCATCAAACCTATGACTGGTGTGAAATCACGAAGTCAAACACATTAAGAACGTTCAGAAGTACCACCCTTGGTTTAAGGCTACATGACCTGAAAATCCCCAGCTCCCTAGAAATGAGTGTTACAGCTGTACAACTGACTGCCTCTTACTGATGGCAGCATGCTAAAGGAGAACAGAGGCACTATGTAGAAGGCACAATAACGATTCCCTTCTGACTAGGTGGAAGCCCGAGTGGGAAGTGGTGGTTACACTGAAAGTTTTTCAGTCTCATAAACAAACATGTCCTAAAAGCCATTTAACAGCTGAAAGAGAAGGAAGGTGGTCATAATCACTCCTTAGAAATGTGCAAGGTCAAGCTGCAGGTACAGCTAACTCAAGAGCTGGTTTATAGTACTGAGCATACTCAAAACAAGTATTTCTTTTTTGTGCAAGGACAACACCCTTTCCTCAAAATCCATTCCAGTAACATTCTCATTTATAAAGGGAAACAAACATTTTTTTTAAATAAAAGTAACGAGCTAGAATAACAATTTATAGAGAGGATGCCCCCTATCAACAAGGTGTACACACACACAAACAAACAAAATAACACAGTAAAGTCTGCAGTTAAAATATCAAGTCGCATTCAAAGGAGTGTAAACAGGAAAGAATGTAAGTTCTGGCAAGTTGAAGGTAAGCCTTTTGATGAAGCATGGCAAAGTTTGAGAACCAAATTATTAAAAACATACTAATTAAATATCTTCACCAAAGCCTGCAGAAGCAGGAGGCCCTCCAGACCCTTTTGTGGGGCTGAAAGACAAACAAGGTTTTTTCAGGAAAAAGGTTTTCCTAAAGTGTTATTAGAAGATATTTTAAAACAAATTAACAAAAGGAGAGGTAACAAAATCATTAAGACCAGGTGGTATCCCATCCATTACTTCTACAGGAATTTAGAAATGATACAACAAACACTAACTATTCTGTTACTGCAATCCATCAACAAACAGAATGAATACAGCAAATGTGAAAGAAACTAAAGGGGTCCCAAGAGGAACAGAGTGCCACTCACCAGAACATCTGATTTTGAATGGGCAAACAGGTGGAAACAAAACAGTAACAACAACAAAGAGCAGACACTGCTGAAAAATGAAGTTATGGGAATGAGTCATTAATCTTTACACATGGGAAGTTGCATATCAGTAAAATGCAGTACTATCCAAAAAAAAAAAAAAAAACAAACTTCCAACAAAGTCTCACACCAAAAGATCTTAAAATAAAAATCCTGTTAATTATTAACTAAAACATAGGAGACAGTGGGTGGAAATAAATTACTGGTTTTCACAATGAAGGGAACAGCAGGCACCTATTGATGGACTCAGAAGGGAATCTGTGACAAAAGTATTAGAAAATGAACTGAACAGTGTGCATAAAATTTACTGAGGTAGTGAGATCTAACATGATAATGAAGAACTGCAGAAAAATGTCATGCTACCAAATCATCACAATACGAAATGAAAGAAGGAAAAAAAAAAAAAAAAAAAAAAAATCAGACTGAGCCCAAGCTCTCTCATTTGCATTAACTCTGCAGGTATAGTATTAGGCAATGTATCACCTAAAATTATTCAGGAAAGAAACTGAAGTCAACAAGGATGTTTTCCGAAACTGTCAGCTCAGAAATAGTGTTAAAGATAGCATATTAAAGAGTAAGAAAAAGAAGTTATCATAAAGTATGTACACGACACAGTGCACACCTTGAATGCCATGGCCGAGTCTGGTCACCTTGGTTCCAATAGGATATAGAACAACCAGACAAGAAAGATCAGAAGTATGCAATAATCAATTTGTGTGGAAGTTGATCAGGTGATTCTTTATCTTGGAAAGCAAAGGACTGGAGAAGACACAGTATACATATTTATTAATCATAAGTGGGTCAAAGAATATTTATTACTTTACATAATGAAAGAACTATGAGATACCCAGTGAAATTATCAGACAAGCTTAAAACAAAAAAGTGAAGTTATTTTTTCCACACATGCATAAAACATAATTAACTGATACAGATGTAATGGACGCTTATTAAGTAAGTCCAAGAAAGAACTTGATAAATTCACAGAACAAAGTTCCATTGAAAACTATGATGAACATGATTCAAGCAGATTTAAGAAATCCTTAAATTACAGATTGCTGGAAGCCGAAACTAACCACTATGAGAATTATACTAGGCCATATGGACCTTTGCCTAAAATATGTGGCAATTCTTACGTTCTTATAATATGACTGTGCTCCTCAGAAGTCAATGATCTTTTTTGCTTTGAAAACATAATTGTCTCCATAATATGGAATTTACATTAAGATGTTCTGGTAAGAAATTTATCCCCCACCTGCATTCTAGTTTGTAGTCAGCTCGAAGATTCTCTTGTTTCTGTGGCTTTGGCTTTTTTTTTGTTTTACTGTTTCCAAATTAGAACCAGATATTCCTGGAGATAAAATATTAACGCTTACCCGTTTGTCTAGTGTTCTCTCCCTTACAAAGCCAAGCAGCTGGTCATTGACTAAAGAAAGATCTCGCTTGCCTGCAGTAATAATCGTAACAATAACATCATGTCGAATGGCTTCTTCTGGGTCATGTGATCTAACCTTCAAATATTCTGTCAGAATCAGAAACAATAAAAAGATTGGCTTTTTTATGTAGATACGACATATTCCAATTTATTAATAATGTTAAAACAATTAAATGTCAGTCACATACTACAATCATATAACCTATCAAACATGTATCCGCCTACAGGAAACACGCGTTCCAGTATTTTCTATGTTAAACATAAAACATCTATATAACTGTAAATATAAGAATATAAAAGTCAGCATCTTTTGCAATAACCTCAACTGCAACAAGTAATGAGGTGAAATTAAGCTGATTAGGATACATTGGAAATAAACATGGGGGGAGTGAGAAAAAAAATAAAAGAGCAGAGGCTTTCATTCCCAAAAATGCTAAGAAACTAAACAATAAATGACAAACACTAACAACTGCTGCAGGTTCACCTGCATCAAAAAAGAATGATGTTTTCAGCTAATCCTGAAATTCTGCTCCTAGTTACAATAACAGCAAGTGAAGGATGAAACTTCATGGTTTACATCAGCACAACGGCATTTTCTAAACCCAGTGGTAAAGAGTACTGGGGAACACACTCACTATTTTTGAAAATAAATCAAGATGTTGCACCAATATTTGCTTTGACTTGCCAAAAGTTTCATTAGAATCTGAAATTACTTCAAAACTCATAGCTTCTTAAGACTCACTCTGATAAAGTCCATGCAACATCACCCACTCCTCTCTTTCTACTCACTAGTGCTTATCTTCAGCAGAAAGCAATTACTCAGTAGTTAGCTCTTCCACCCAGCATCACGCATTGGACACAATACGTTTGCAAACTATACTGCTATGTACAGAAATAATTACATTCTTCCTTGCTCACTTCTTAAATTATTCTAAACCCCAGTACAAGCATCTCACCAGTGAGGTCTTTTGCTAAGTCTGGATGGTTCATTAAACAATGACTGGCGAATTTCACACTCTCTAATCTCACAGGGACATGGATATCATTGAACCTAGAGGGACAGAAGAAGATGAATGTTAATTTTTAATTAGCCTTGCAAATCAAGATTATTCTCTATGTAGCAACACGTGTTTATAGTGTGTTACATTAACTATTAGAATAGTTTTATATGGAAAAATAATATATTGGAAATGTTTTAAATTTCTCTCCATAAGGTACCTCATACAAAGATTTATGTTATTTCTTGTGAAACTAAGTCAGGAGTAAAATTAAAGGATGAATACGCTATATGAGGATGAAATGTTGACCCAATGGATTTTGTACATTGACTTTTGAACATGTCTCCATATGCTGTTAAGTTTAAGTGTGTGCATATGTGTATATATGTGTATACACACATATGAAATTACAAAAACATAAATAACCATATAACAGGTACCATTTGTAAATATTCTTTGTTTAAAGTAATAAATTTTTATGTTTATATAAAAGGAAATCTCTTCACTCAAAAAGGGTAAATGTCAAATAAAAGACAGTTGCAGATATAGCTGGACAGTGTAAAATTTCAGACAACGCTGGCATATCTATTGTGTTATATCTGCTATGTATGTAATGTGCTATCTATCCAACCTATATCCCCATAGCTGACAGCAACATAGCAGCAGTCCTTCAGGCTGATTTGTTCTAAAATATAACTGCATGCAAATCTCTGTTTTGAAGATCTAACCAACAAACTTATTCAAACATTAACATCCTCTAAAAATGCAGTTTGATCAGAAAATTCAGACCATAAAGAACAGAAATCCAGAATTCTCTTTGTTTCTCTTACCGCCCAAGAAAGCACTGCCAAAGAGGACGATTTTGTGTGGCCAGGTCAGAATCTTTGGAGCCAAAGAGTTTAGCTAGAAGCCGAACAACAGCCAAACGTTCTTCTCCATCATTGCTCTAAAAACGAAAATACAAAAAAGTAACTGTAAATCATTATCTGTAATTTGTTAATACTAATGAATGACTAGCTTCCTTTTCCTTCTGCTTTTCTAAGTTAGATTAAAAATTGAGTTTGAAATAATTTCTGATAATTTTCAGTCCCCCTAATTAGATGAATACAAGTAAAAAATACACAAATACCCATTAAGTTCATCTATTACAGCCTTTTAATAGATGGCTGTACTTTGAAAATTCCACACACTATTGTTTGAATGGCACATATCGCTAACAACTTCAACAATGAATGATATTATTTTTGTTTCAAAACATATTTTAAGACTATTTTATGTGTATGGAAAAGTCATCAATTAAGATGTTATAAACAGATGTGCACTAATAAAACATCTATGTAATTTCACCAAATACCAATTTCTTGGTTATTTTTGTTTGCTGACACCATGCCCTATATGTACATACACACACATAATTTCTCTTATCCACTTACAATCTTATGAAAGACAAGTAACTTTTTAATCAAAAAAAACCAAACTCACTCCCTCAGTCAGGAAAAAGTAACTATTTCTACAGGTTCAGAAGAAGTCAGCTGACTTTTTAGTAGATTATGATAATTCTGAGAAAATATTTTGAAATGCTTCCTCTCTTATTAAAACATTCTCTCACAAAAGAAAATTCTGCAAGTAAATAATGAAGTTGACACACTTGCATGTCGTAAGAAATCCACAGCCTAATTACTTCATAAATTGCAGGTGATATCCAAAGAGTTAAGTAAATAATTTTTCATTAGATCATATCAATTTATCATCACACTGATTATGTATCTTGTGTGCATAATACATATTTTGCAAGCACAGACGGTACACAATTCTACACAAAATTCCAGTAGCCTTCCTTTAATATTACATTTATCTTTAAAATTTTTATCCCTCTACTACCACACATTAAATCTACAGCTTTGCACATAAATTTTGTTACTTGTCCAAAGCTGCACTGTAACCTACCTTCAGCTTGAATTCAAGCTGTGGCATGACAGAGAGCAGTAAGTGAGGATCTATGGCAAAAAGCTCTTGTATCAAGTCAAACACATGTTCTGATAGGTCACTTACTGAAGACTTTCCCAGTACCAGAACCTGGTTAAAAAACTAGAATACAAACAATATTATTGAGCAGGTTTTTCTTCATTAATGCAAACACTATTTTTAAAAAATAATTTTAATGTAATACCATTAATTAATTAATTCTAATGGAAGGTGCTCAATGCACAAAAAGCACTTCACCGTTACAGTTCTGGCTCAAGCCAATTACAGACATCCCTCCCTCACAGTTCTATTACTTTTATCAGGATTGATTATATCATGGTAATTTGTTAATTTAAAATATCAATAACCATCACCCCAGCAAAATTAACACATAATTAATTAATTTAAAACACTTATTTATCCAGTAGAAGCTGAGAAAAAATTAGCACTTTAATTTTTTATCATCTAAAACCAATTCAAACTGAAGATCACCAAGCATTGGAAAACAAGCTTCTTGACTTCTAATCCAATTTAATGAATGTCAGATGACTTTATGGTATGTCTTGTCATATCTGACAGTAATATGTCAAGGTTGTTAGCAATCTAGCAGGAAAAAAAAAGTCTAAAATATGAATTTTCTTTTGTTTTTTTTAAAGTTAATATGCTTGATACACTTCCTATTACATACTATGAGTTAATATTAACATTATTCAAGCAGTGCAAATGCTACAAAGCCATTAAACATTTGAATAAGAAAGTGGGAATAATAATATTAAATTAACTCAAAGGTCACTCTATGCACTATCCTGTTTCCAGCTATAACTAATTACAAAAGCTTAAAGAAACAGGGGAATTAGAAAGTGGTGCTTGTTAGTGAGACTTTTAAATACTTACTGATTAATCTTTTATGAATTTGCCTAATTCCTCTTTTAAACTATTCTGACTTTTAAGAATTCTCTTGGCTTCAACACCAAGGAAAGGCAAAAGAATGGACCAAACTACATCCCCCTCAAGACTGTAACAGCTATTTTGATAGCTAGAACATACACTGATATTCAACAAGAGGAATTACAGTAGAAGGAAGCCTTGGGAAAAAGAACAATTCTTTCAGTCTTTATGACTAAAACAAGTTTAGGATGGAAAAAAAACCAAAAATGTAATAGAGAGCTGGTAGTTTCAAATGCTTCATCCTAAAGCCTGGTATCATATGCAGCTGTCTGATTGCTGGACATATGTAGTACTAACAATTCCTTTTGTTGCAGCAGAAGTTTCTGGTGCTCACCTATACTTAAAGCCTGCATTTAAAGTTAGGTTTACACTGAGATGAGTAAAAATTAATTTCCTCTTCACTGATTTGAAACGTCTCACATACTTTAACAACCAAGCTAATAATATCCTATTTGGAAAATGGTATTCCTGTAGCTACATTACAGAATTTTATTTTTAGAAAAATAATATTTTTTTAAAGAAACCAGGAAATCTCCAAAAACTCAAGACAGTAACAAGCATATTTGTTATTTGTAGGTAACATGGATTGATTAATTTACATACATTGGCAATACATGGTTCAATGGTCTGGACGGTCCTTTTCAACAGGACTTTTGCAAGATCAAATGCCTGTTTATTAAGGTTCTGAAATAAAGAGAAAATAATAGTAAGATTTTAAAGAGACAAACTATTTCAAGTTATTCTGCTTTTGTCTTCAAACCTTGGAAGACCATGATTTGAAAAAGGTATGTTTTACCACCCATGTATTTGTTTGCAAAGGTACTGAAGTTCAGTTATATTTATTCTGTAATAAGAAACTTAGAGGGGGAAAAAAAAAAACAAAAAAAACAAAAACCAAAACTCTTAAAACTAGTTTTCACACACTGAAAAAGTAATCTAACCCAAAACCATCACTTCCTGCACATTGCTCTAAGACTTTATCACTCCAGTTTTTACCTCCAGCATTGTATTCACATCAATAAAGAGTTTTCACATGCAATTACATTAAAAATTTTGAAGAAACATTACCAGACCTCCATACTCCATTAATGAACATCCATGAAATTTTGCCACAGAAAAATCAACTAGTCTAACTTACTGTTGAAATGTGGTTTTGTTTCCCCCTCACATTCTCATTAAAGGTACACCTTGTAGCAAAGTTCAGCCTTGTCTAGAGGGTAACACTGTGCCCTGACTCCTCCATGTACGGTATGCCCCGAGGTAGCCCACAGAAAGCACCTGCGCTCAGGCCAACTTATGTGCAAACTTTCCAACTAAACATTGGGTTGCAACACAAATCTGAGCATTGTTTTTTATCACTCTTGAGCAACATAAGGAATGTAACTGAATCCCCTGAAAAATGTGGCTGTCCAAATCTGCACAAAATCCAATATGCAGTATTGGAGGGGGAGGAAGAAAAAAGTGAATTAGTTGATTGCCCTGAAAATTACAAATGACTGCAGAAAAAATACAGGTAAAGCTTAAGGATGACTGATTCTTGGAAAGACAGTGTTTGGCAAAACTATATTGAGAATGACTCCCTCATGTTCTTTTAGCTAATAAAATGACAAACCAAAAGACAGTGCATCAACTGATAGCAAAGAGAAACAAATAGCCCAAGTCTCAAACAGTAGCACTAAACTAATGTCTTATTACAGAAGACAGAAAGATACATATAAACTCTTCCCAGATTAAAAACAGAACCGTTTCCTCCCAAACAAGACCATCATTAAAATCCTGTTGGCAGATATATTTGTATTAAACTAAAGGACTGCCTGCCTCATAAAGAAAATGTATTTTATTCGGATCTTCAATACAGCTTCAAAGATTTATTGCAATAAAGTTGTGTTGTTTTTTTTCCTCCTTCATCAGGCTCACTAAACAAAACAGTCAAACAAAACCACAAAACAAACATAAAACCCAAACACAAAAACACTCCCAAGGAGCCAAACGAACAGCCTAGAAAACAAATGCATACTGATGAAACAAACCACTAATAATAAATAATAAATGAATAAATCATCGATCTCCTAGGAGGAAAAAAACTGGAAGGTCTGGATTGGTTGTGCTATAGAGGATGCAAAAGACTTGAAATACATGAAATACATATTCTCAAGGAATAACCTTGACAGTAAAAGTATGAAGAAAAATATTCACTAAATAGCACTGGATTTAAAGTTAATAAAAATAAATACAGTTTGAGGTCATAGGTGGTCCGAGCAGAATGAGATGTACCAAACTGCTACTGAAAACCTGGATCTACGTTAGCACACAGAGAACGATGTGCAGTAAAGCCACTTTACGGATAAATGGAGGTACAAGCGACTACTATTTACACGCTGAGGTAGAATCTACTTCACATCTAGATACTGCTATATTTCTGGTTTTTTAACTGCAGTATTGTCTTATACAATGGAAGAGTTTTACCAATGCAATGAAACCAACCAAACAAAAACCCCACAAAGGAATATGTTATCCCAAACACGTATTTCAGCTCCTTTACAAAGACGGACTTCCACTAAGTGCAACAGACTAGCCACATTGATACTTCTACTAGGTCACAGCAGAGAATGACTACCATTCAGTTGCTTTGTACAGACATGAAAGTATTGTTATATTATATGTTCTTCGCAAGAAAAACTGTGCTTTTCAAGCTAAGGTGCTTCTGACTTACATACCTAAGGAGAAACAATTAATATAATCACAACTTCCTAGGAGATCTGTTAATGAAAGGAAAACAATTACCACAGTCAAACTCTGCTAGGCAGAGCAGATGCAGGAACTTTCTGGTTTTGGTTTTTGGTAGTGTTTTGTTTTGTTTTTTAAAACAACCACAGTAAAAGATCAGTTTAAGTTCTGTTGTTACAGGAAACAAGTTAAAACAGACCAAAATATTGACCTAAGTATGATACTGAGCACCAAGTAGAGCACATTATTTGCCCAGTCAGGATGGCTAAAAGCCAGTAAGGAATGGCCACTAGTCATCTAAAAGATACTAACTAGGCAGTACAATTCAATATTTGCATCGAGTTTAGCTCCCTCCTGATCAGAGCCTTGCTTGAGACCTTCCTTCATTGGGCACAATTATACAATTACGCTAACAATGTTAACTGCTACAGGATCATATTCCCTTTTACTTTGCCTGCAGCAAGTAGTCACAACACGATGTACAAGGTTTACCAGGTCTTTGCATCCTCAGAACAATGCCCACCACTGCTGGCAGCACCAGACATACACATCTCCAACCCTCTATTTCCACTCCTGATCTCTGCTGCCTACAATTGATGAGAAACAACCTACAAAGAACAGTGCCTTTTCAAAAAGACCTTGTTTTTACAAATAAGAGGCCTCCCTTGCTGTTAGCAACTTTAATAAGGTATCATCTCATTGCTGTCAATAAAAATGAGTTGATGGAATGATATTCCCATGTCATGATCACGACAGAAGGAATGCTAACTGACCTCAGACACAGATATTTTTATATACCAGTTTGTTGAGATTTCACAGCTAGATGACAATGGCCACGGCGTAGTCCCTCTTGTGCTACACACTTCCATTAACTATCCCTCTTTAGGCAACCAAAGGAATAATCCCTGCTTTTATGTAGTAATTTAACTTTAATTATGTTGCCATAGACAGATCTGTCTTAATTCTGTCATTATTTTAAATTAATAAATGAACAAACAGAAACACCTACTTTGTAATCAGAGTACAGTTTGTTTACTGTAGCTCATAATTGAGACTTACTGTTCCCCATCCAACATTCAATAAAAAGCACCAGTGTTTTATTTATCAAGGGAATTTTCTTGGTCAATGCAAGGCAACACCAACGTGCATCTCACTTTCCCTGACTCCACAGCTAAAAGAATTGTGTTTATTCTCCTTTCAACTCAATCCTTCCCCCCTAAAAAAAAAAACAAACACAAAACCAACCAAACCAAAAAAGTAGTACTACACTTCAGGTTACTAATCAGGTTTTATTAGAAGAAAAAGTTTAAAGGGGAAAGACACTGGTGAGGTTGGGGAGAGGACAGGGTGAAGAACAAGTGGGAAGGTGGATGGGAGTCTGACTGGCAAGCTGAGGCAAGCAACAAGTCACCACAGAACGTGATGAAGGCCTTTTTTTTCCCTCCCTTTTTTTGTTTAGTAAAAAATACTTCACATCTTTTTCAATTAAAACAAAACACCAAAACAACCAACAATCCATAACCCTTAGGATGTAATGTTTTCCTGTCACATACTACATTTAATTGAAAATATTTTATTTCTGTTTCAGTACAGAGTTCCTGAGATAGGAAGTAGGCAGAATCTCTTGATAATGAAACATCTAGACACAGCTAATGAACAGCACCAAATAATTCCCACAGAAATTTTTCAGTCCACTCTTACAAGGCTGGAGGAAAAATAAAAGGCAGATGATCTTATTTTTCAGTGATGGCTAAAGTGTGTGGAAAGATAAACAACAAGCAAAAGGCAATGAAAATTATTTTTATAATGTTGTACTACTATCGCATTTTACTTTGCAGACCTTGTGTGCAGGAATGAGGTTAATCAAAATTGAGTCCAGCAGCTCCTGAGTTACTCCATCGCCTTCCATGATGATAGAACTCATCAAATCCAGCATATGCATTTGTACCTTCTGGTTGTGGCTATTACTAAGATGATACAGAAAAGAATATTATCAACACTAAATTTTGAGACCCTGACAAATATTAACAGTACTGTTAAGAAGCAATATCTAGTACTGTCCAGCTTACTCACTACATTCCAAAACTTGAAACTATTTTATGTGGCTTTCCTCTCTTATAGAAAGCTTCAAAAACCTAGAATGTCCCAGCTTTGCTTTAAGATGTGGAACAAAACTAAAAAAGAAGAAAATAACCATGGAAATATAAGTGTAGATAAATGAGTCAGAATTAAATATATTGTTGTAACAGGGAAAAGAAATTTTAAAACATGTCTAACTTTTAGACACACAGCCCTCCATATTGTCAGTAATCTGCACAGATTTGCTTTCCCTGTATCTCCTTGTTTGGAGAAACAAACTTGTTCTATTCAGACCTATTTACTTGTAGGCTAGGCAAGGATTCAGCCTACCCCCGAAACTGAAGATATTTTGTCAGTTTAATATAATTGAAGCAATTCAACTTACTTGATAACTGAAAAAAGAGTCCTAAAAAGCTGAATAAAAATTTCATTGCAATCTTCCAACTCAAAGCAGATGTTGTAAGATTTAACCCAAGCTAAATTCTAAAACAAAAATAGGATATTCAGGATATTACAACTTCACATTAAGTCACATCAATCATGTCAGTCATGTTAGTTACAGTTTTTCAGTTTAAGGAAAAATTTTATATAAAAGATTGTAAACCCTTTGGGGAAAGAGACTGGATATTTGCTTTGCATATAAAGAGCTCTTAACACAAAGGGGCTTTGCAATATACATCCAGAAAAAGGACTAAATATAGAATAATCTGATTTCTTATGTAGAAATACAGATTGACAAAAGTTAAAATACATTAAGTCCATGTTTCTAGATTTTTTTCTTTTGAGCTATGAAACAACACAGTTTTAAACATCAATAAAAGGTTTATAAACAAGATAACTGTTTCTCAATAGACACTGATAAACACCCCATACTTCTTTCAAAGAGTAGGTTTTTCACCAATGCTTTTAAACCAAAACCTTATGTTCCTTCTCCCATTATCAAAATTAGCATATTTGCATTTTAATCAGCATTCATGCTTTAGTTCAGTTGCATCTTAAGGGTGTATGATAGAAAAACTAGTGTATAAAATTGCAAGACAAAGGCTAAATGTTAATAAATACCAATTATTTTAACATGTCCTTACTAGAGAGAGAGAGAGAGAGAGAGAGAGAGAGAGATAACTGTCCTATAACTATAGGCTGGATGAATTTATGAAATGCAAACAGAACTATAACTACTAAAAGAAGCAATTCATGACACTTTAAGAAGACTGGTGCGATTTACTAAAATTAATTTCCCAGGCATACTGGCACATCTGGAGAAGACTGATTACTTTTCACAAGCTTACGGAGCAAATAACATCTACTGAAAGTTACAATAATTGTGTTACCTCTAACAAGTAAAAGTATCTGTTAAATTGAGGGCTCTTCGTGTCCTCCAAGCCTTTTAATTGTCTTGTAATAAACAAGAATATGTCCTGTCAAAAAAAAAGTTTACAAGCTTGATTCAGCAGAGGAGAAAAATACAACCCTTTACTGGCGACATATACCCACATTTACGAAGTCATGATACAAGAACATTAAATTGTCTTTTTTAGGCACTGAGAGAAAGCTATCACCAAGACAGATACTGGTGAGCTAATGTTCCTTTACATAAGCATATTCCTTTGGCCCTTAAAGTACTACACTAACTCACAGGACTAAACCAACAGTTCTTTAGTAAAACTGAACATCAAGTATATATATAGGGTTGGTTTTTTTGGAGAGTGGGGTTGGGTTTTTTTCTCAGTAAGAGAATGAGGTAGGAAGCTGCCCTTATTTTATAAAGCATTTTTACCTTAAGTTTGTCATGGGAAGTATACGGAGCTTCAGGAGCATAGATACGAAAGATATCGGCCAAGCAACATGCTACAAGAAGGCGCACATCTTTATTGGGATTCCTGAGGAAGAATTCAGATGCAAGGTGCAAGGCTAAAGGGAGATATTGCTGCTTCTCATCCTCTGAGTCCTGGTCCATATCCATGAAGGTTTTTACCACCATCTGAAAAACACAAGAAAAAAAAAAAATAATTTGAGTGCTTTCTGCTTTTATTCGTAATTACTAAACAATACTTCTAAAAGAATGCAGTGCGTATCAGTATGTTCCACTGCATAATCACAGTACTACGGTTTGGTTTTTTTTTTTCTCTTCTCATCATAAAAAGAGAAGAGTTTACCTGACACTTAAATGCTTACTGAACTTGGTATTTTAAATTAAGGTCCTGGAAAACGCTTTGCAACTCAGCTTATTTTGCCAGACTTCACCTGAGGTGTGGCACACCAATGAGGTTGGAGATGGCAGCACCTCTGCATCAAAGCAGCCCCAGAACGCTCCACAGCCAGGACTTGCCTGAGTACACGCAGTGCAGGCCACAGTACGACGCAGCTGCTTGAGAAGCTATGCTAAGACTTTAGGGGAGCCTAAGAGACCTGTCTTACACTCTGCCTGTATCAAGGTACAAGGCACAAGAACTACTTTACATACAAAGAAACCTTTTCTCTGGTTAGACAAACTAGATACCAGATAAGAATTTAATCCCTCATGTAAGATATGTCTATGCTGCAGATCTATTCTTTCTGCATACTCAAAACTGCATCTCTAGCCTTATCTTAGTGAGAACAATCAACTATGTGGTTTCCTTGTTTCTCACAGCACAGCTAAGAACTACTTCCTGTGAAATGCCACCAAAATTATTATTAAACTCCAGTTAATTAAACATCTCAACATAATGATTTCACAAATTTGAAAGTGAAAATTTAGTTTGAAGAAAAAAAAACTCTAGCTTTAGCTTTTGGAATAGGGTCTGTTACAAGATGAGAACGACTCCTAGAATGTCAGCCCAGAACTGGGAGATGTGCCAGAGATTCTTAACATGACTTTAGTCAGCTTGGTATTTCGTCCCATTCCTCCACTGTCACTTAAGCATCCTGATTGGTTAATCCTAAAATTGGTTAAAAGAGTTTAAAAGAGTTAAAAGAACAGCCATATTGCATATCTGTAGGGTTTAGTATACCCTATACACACACAGCAGACATAATACACGTTAAAGATCTAAAACACGGTATGATAAACCTTGCAGAGTCAAATCCACCTCTAGAAAATTAACAATAGAACACAAAAGGAGATGAGCTCACACAGCTAATAAGCACATCTCTTACTGCAGTTCTTTTGTTACCGTGTCATTCAAATGAAAACTAAGGTTGTTCCTCCATTGTTAAGCACACCCCCACTTACAACATGAAAACACTGTCTTTCAGCATTACCTCCTCCCCGAGTTTTGGAACCCAGTTTTAAACTCAGTAGATCTTAGAAATTAAAATAAATGTTTGATAGCAATCTTTCCTACAGTACATTACTTAAGACTACTCCTCAATTTCTATAAATGTACAAATACATTCCTTTGTGAAGCAACTTACAGCAAAACCCAAAAATCAAGAAGGAGAGAGAAGAAAAAAAGAACACCAAACTACAAACCAAACATCATAGCCACAGCCCACAGAAATCCAAATCCTACCTGCATTGGCCCATTTCCCTAAAAATATCCTGTATTTGTATAATTTGTGTGTATATATATATATGTGTGTGTATATTTTTACGTAATATATATAAAGAATATATAAGAATTATATTTTGAAGCAACAGCTGAAAGGACAAAACCTTCTTCTGTTGACAGCACAGGTCTGTCTGTTGCAGTGTCACATATCACCAGTACTTCCTAGATACCAAAATTTTAAAAACACGTAACAGTCTTCAAAACCTAACAGAATCTTTCAATACAGGTGGTTTTTTAAAAAAAAAAATATATATATACAAACCAAAACAAAAACCGACAAAAAAAACCAAACCACCCCCTTACCTCAAAGCAAACAAAACCAAACAACCTCACCATCAAACCAAGACCAACATGATGCAAAGCCAAAAAAAACCCCATACCACAATGCTCTCTGCTCATGGCATGACAAGGAATAATGGACTTGCAGCATGGGACTCTGATAACTATTACCGAGGGCTTTAAGAACAGGGTAGAAAGGACTGAAAGATCTGTGGATCCTACCCTGGAGACTGAAGATGAACTGTATCTGTAGCATATAAATGTCTCATTTAAGTTCCTTCCAGTCGTTTTATTAATTTTATAGATAAATTATATAAGCAATCTTTTGATGTTTCCCCTAAGCCTGATCTCCTCTCTCCCGTACGCTTCACAACAGAATAGCCACCTAGACTTATAACTCTCTCTGGGTTCTCATACTCATATGACAATATGCATAAATCTTGCACACACCCTTTCTCTGATATGTCAAACGCAGACAAGGTAAGGCAGCTTGCTGCTGTGAAAACTCACACAACTTTCCTATTCGGTAACAAAATGTTAGGATATTCCGGGATTAAAGTAATGAAACTAGCCTTTGGTACTGTCTTACCTGTTTGAAAACACACCATCCTTATGGATTTTCCCATGTTGCTCTTGTATTCAAGAAGGAACTGCCTGCAAAGATCCATAAAACCTCATTCTATTTCCCTGCAAAGCACTCCTTGATATCTCTTTTCTATTACAAAACAACACTTGAGCAGTAATTGGGCCGTTGGCAAGCTGCAACTGTTATTTAAGGTACTGACCTATGCTTCCTCCATTGTTACTTTATAATCCCATATCTGCTTCTATTTGTGTGTTGTCTGTTGTAACAAGGTCTTTGGTGCATGGCGTTCTGTTTACAGCAGGTACAAAAAAAAAAATTGACATAATACTACCATGGTCTTTATTTAAGATCCCAGATACCAAAGCAAGACAAATACTAGGCATGTGGTACACAATGTATATAGTATATTGCAAATAATGAAGATATATATATATAAACAAATTACACGGGGCTATACCACAGTTAAAAGCATGACATAAATTCTTGCTAGTGGCAGCACACACAATATCATCTGGGAAAAGGGGAATTAATAAAGACTTGCATTTAAGCACAACCCAGAAATTTCTTGGACTCTGTCATCATAGTTCAACAAAATACATCTCTTGAATATATGCAATTAACTATGTCTAAAATCCTACAGCCTGGGAGTAGTCTCTATAGCCAAGCAACTACTGGCACTGGTTAAGGTATTACACAACAGAACTATTTCCAAATGCCTGCTAATCTACAGATGAGATTAATTGTTATAACAGAAGAAAACAACAATGAAAAAGTCCAGATACTAAATACAATGTATATTTGGCTCTTCAAACTTGTCAGAAAGCCAAGATGTTGCTCAAAATTTCTCCAGTTACAGGACTGCTATGTTTACTCGCTAGCACAACTGAAAAATTGGTTATCAAGCAACAACCACGAAAGCAACTTAGGTCTTCAGAAGTACAAGATATTGTACATTTGAGGAAATAATTAAATTTATAATAGAACCACGTATCCTTGAATACCACACTGATCAACAATACTTCCAAGATTTCCTGAGGTACTCTTGTCTTTCTCTCTGCAGCCATCCCTTGCCTTGTTTCCTCTACGACAGGAGCTACCCTCCCTTCCTCCATGCACGTTTATATCATGTCTAATGCAAAGTTTTGGTCTAGGACCACAGTTCACAGGTACATCCATAATACAGAGACCAAATGACAACGTGTTGCAAGTTATTTTCTGTTACAGTCTGACAAAAAAAAAAAAAGTTACTTCTGATCAACTGGGATTGCAATTACTTGGGATACACAGAATCAACAGAAATATTAAACATGTAAAGTTAAGCATAATTATCCAGCCCTTCCCAAAACTCTTTCTTAAACTGTATCATAGCTACAGGTCCCACACTTTCTACATTTCCTATAACTCCATTACATTTCCTGTTACAAATTATGGGCTTCCTCAGAAAAAAAATGAGGGAAAAAAAAAAAAAAAGAGAAAGAGAAGAGATATGCAAGTTTCATGATGTATAATAAATATTGATAACATCTTATGAAGAGGTTATATCATCTTATGAAGAACTGCTCATAACTGGTTCAGAAAAATTTTTAGCCATACCACTGCAATACTGGTATTAATTGTGACAGCCAGAAATTGATCTACTAAAAGAATCTGCTAATGAAACTGAAAACCTGAAATAAACTCCACATATACAAAAAGACTAAAAGTCTAAATAATTTAAGATTTTAAATTATTTTTAAACTCAAACTGAAAGCCACTGATTTAACTAGTAATATACATAAGTGCAACGAGGGAATATGACAATCCAAGTAAGACCCCAAAAATTCAAGGCTGTGGTTAATATTTCATTGAACCAGAGGGAAGAAAAAGTACAATTCAGAGAGGAGACATGAATTGCTACTGCCAGACAGATTTTAGTACAATTATTTTTGCCAAGAATCTGAAAATTAGGAAAAACTTCTTTAGTCAAGTTATTCATATTATAGGTACTCTATTAAAGCAATTTATATTCAACATGTCATCTGACCCATCCTAACTACCCTTGTTCTAACTGTAAAAAAAGCCCAAAACAAGCAACCCTCCCCTCCAATTCCTATTTGCATTAAGGTTTTAATTTTAGGTCTAAAAGGAGTTTCAATTTCCTGAAGGTTTGATTCAACCCTTTTACAAATATTTCTTTAGCAGAATGAAGTCATTATTTCAGAGTTAGGTATTAATTATTATCATGCCAAGCCAGCTTTTATTCCAGGAAAAAGTGATTAAACCATAATATGAACTCACTACTTTTTGAAATTACACTAGTATTGTCTAACAGAAGTCTTGCTGTACAGACAAAACAAGCCTAGCTAGAGAACTAATATTCATTTATATAAAACCCTATGGACTTAGCTTCCACTACAGAAAATTGGTACTGCCCTTGCTACAAAAAGTAGCAAACAGAACAGTATTACTTAAACATAATGGAATATCATCCATTCTTTTCCAAATAATTAAGGACTCAATTTAAACACTAATTGCTAGCAAATGTAAATAAAATACAGCTATTCACATTTATGATTAAATTCATTCTGCATTGCTTCTGATTTA